GTTAAATACACCGCTAACCAGCTCGCCGTAGCCGGACGGTGAGCTTCGTCAGACGCGCAATTCTGTTGATTCCCAGTATGGACGAAACCTTTGTACTGTGTCTAGCGGATTTTGAGCATGGAAGGAATTTTCGAACTCCCCATTAAGTAATTGTCTGCCCGATACTGCTGGCATTCACACACTGCCTTGTATCTCATCGATTTGTTCACAAGCCTGTATCGATCTGAAATCACTGAACAGTGTCAGCGATAGGAATGTTCCCTCCTATTGTCCTCACATTTTGATTTGGAAATTGCTCTCCGGGGCACTCCGAACATCAGGTTGTTCTGGACGTCATCACGCACCTGTCCTAACAGATCCGCTCACCCACACCGGCGTTTCCTAACCAGCCAGCTTCTTTACTATCGACTGAGAACGACACCAAATGGAACATGGTAGAAATTTTAGCTTTCAACAATTGATTTTGCTGTCCCATGGACTAACAAAAAAGCACACAATTATGTACCGTACTGACTAGAATATTAGCAAAAAAGTAAATTATGCTGCCCACATATCGCTGGGGGATTTTGAATATTTTTAAAACAACGTTGTTGTCCTTTTTCACAAACTTATGCGAGCGTTTTATCAGAAGACTGAAAATTAGGAAAATGTAATTTTAAAGGAAGAACTTTACTACCGTCAGCTTTGGCTGTGAGAAGAAAACGATCCACCAAATTCTTTGGATATAACAGCATTAAAAATGGGGGTGATTTCAAAACTCCCTATTTTTATAATTGCAATGTTATTCGAAAAATATGAACGTACGTCTGAGTGACCGTTATCTTCTGTGATCTGTAGATTACGAAAGATAGCTTTTGCGTGTAAGAAAATAACTGCTTCAAGAAGAGGGTTTTTCAGTAACAATAAGTGAATAGTTCCTGAAAGTTCTCATCTTTATTTTAATTGTCGTACCACGGTGGTTGAAATGAGCACCAAAAACACTTGTTGGAGTTGATGGAGCCAACAAGATTTCTCGAATTCGCATATACACTACTAAAATATGTCATCAGTATAAAACCAGATGTACAGGTTGTTCAAGAAACTGGTAGTAAGGATCTAAAAAGACCAAATTTGAGAAACAAACTCAGCTCTGGTTCATTGACTGTGTCTAAGATGTCAGTGGAGGATACAGATATGTGTAGAGGCTTAGTTTATTTTGGCACACAACCAGGAAAATTCATTCTTTGGAAGGTGGGGTGTTAGCCTACGTATAATCTCGCGAGATAGAGCTAATAGCAGATAAAAATGAACTCCCATTTAGACAGTTATTTAGTAATGTCGACTCTCGTGCTGGCTCTCATGTTATGAGAACTCCAGGAGGACCATCGTTCCTCATACATGCTGTTTTTGCCGCTCCCCAAGATGACACACCTTAACTTCAATTTTTTGTCTCCTCTCGAAATGCTTAGGAATGTTCCACTTACATGTGATTTAAGTGATGACTGCCAATGTCTGTCGCTGATCCATCCAGTTAAGAATTTCGAAGACTATAAAAACAGCCCTCAGTTTATTTGTAACGCACTACTCATTAGGTTGCTGGAAATTCGTTGACAGCCCAAGACCGGGGCTCATCAGATAGGCGCCATCGCCGAGTTTCCATCAACCTTGTGTTCAACTCGAAACCAAATTACACGAAATCAGCGAAGTTCACTCATTTGCAAACCAATCTGGTTTTGTGAGAGGCTCACCTGGAACCCAGCTGAATCTCTCGTTTATGATGTTTAGTAATGCATTACGAATTCACATGTGTCGCGATATCTCGAATATCGTAGCGACTGAAACATGGGGCGGCCTGGTGCAGCACAGTCAGTTGCCTGGAAACATCACAAACGAGAGATTCAGCTGGGTTCCAGGTGAGTCTTTCGCAAAACCAAATTAGTTTGCAAATAAGATCCCACAGTTTAACTCGATCCAAGCCACCCAATTTTTTAGGCTTTTCTCCAAGTACATCTTCGTACCATCGACAATCAACTGGGTGAGCAGATAAATCTATGGGTATCTTCAAACGTGTTATTCAGAACCAAATAACTAATGGATGAACGCAAGATTTTGATCAAGTTTCTTCTTGTCTATATTTTGAGACCTCAAAATCTACCTAGGGCGCATTAGAAAATTATCCACGTCGACACACTGGATGGCTTGGTCACTGTCGTTCCACATAATCTACGGTCCATCAGCCAACCAGTTCGACCATACTGAATTTAATCAACCAGTCAGCTTTACTCTATTCGTGTGTTTGAAGGCATAACAGTCATCAAAAGTGAAATGTGAGTTTATATGTTGTCGTCAACCGCGGGGTTTTTGAAACAGTTATTTCAGTGGTTTCTGACAAAACAGGTCAATTATCTTGATTTCTGACAAAATTAGGTACTTGTGTCAGAGATTAGAAGGAATTGGTTACACAACTACTAATGCTTCTGTAACGTTGTCATAGACAGGTGATTTGGAACCAAATGATTGGGAAATTATGGCCCGACAGACCAGCCCTTTTGGCGACTCCTGTCCTTCCGAATTGGCCGCTGATCTCTGCACCAATATTCCGTTCAATGTGTTGTACTTCCGATCACTTGGTCACTCCCTCAGAGGCTTGTCATATTCGAATTGCTTGTGACGGAATGGTTGGCCAGTTAAACTCTCAGTTAGGGTTTCCCCGTTCTGAAGTAGTGAAGCTCAAAACCCGGAAGTGAATCAGTAGTAAATTCCGAAGAAGCCTTATACAGCGACTCTCTGCTTGTTGAAATTTCATCAGCAGTACATGACTGTAGAGAGGTTCACCCTTGCAGCGTTTGAAGATTTAGCTACAAATATAATGCTAAGAGGGAGGATGAAGCATCTGCCAAGTGACTTAGACTTTCTGTCTGAAAGTTTGTTACTTGAGGAGCCAATTGAAATTGAACCCGTTTGACGTAAGCTACTCAACTGTTGGATAGGTGGCGCCACGCCCCGTTTAATCGAAAGCCATTTACACTGCCATCCAGCCACACGCGCAGTTCGTTTTCGCATGGTTTGATGTCTGGGGGTACCAATAATGGGCAGACTTTGATAGCATTTTTGTGCAAAAATGGAATAGCTGAACTGTGCCCTCTCCGGTCATTCCCTGTGGGCTAATTTTATGTATACAATAAAATATTTATCTAGAGCTGTTCCTAGTTCAGAGCCATTGCCACCATCCCATAAGTTTCCGTTTTTTCATAGATAAAGCATTCTTTGGTATCGCGTTCAAGTATTTTCCATTTGGAAATGACCTCATCCAAACTAAACAAAAGTACCAGTTCCTTTATTAGAATAAGAAATGGCTCGCACAAACCACTATCACCTGGATTTTTCACCGAAGGCAGGCTATGACATTTTCCCAAACGCTGATATAATCGAGGTAGCAATGAACGTGAAAAGGCAGAAGTCGTAGCTTTTATCATAGTCTCGCTGGAGTTAATGAGGCCACCAGAGGAATCAACATTTGATCGAATATTCAGAGTATCTAAGCTACTTACAAAATATGGTTTCAAAAGAGACTGCTTTTTTTCATTTCTGTGATTCCACTCTTCGGGAAGCACCCGTGTCCAAAAATCGACTGCAATCTTTTCCACAGAACAAAAGATAAAATGCCCAAGGTTGATCAAAATACCTATTACTCACTTTGATATCCGGGACTGGCTTACTGCTAGATACCTGAAACATCCCGAAGGAGAATGGTGGTGATATAAACAGATATTAAGTGCAAGACATATGGAAAGAGTGATAAGACTGTGAAAATTAAGTGTTGCACCATTGACTAACAGCTTGTACATAAATTTCAGGCTTAAGTTTGTCTGGTGTGGTGTGGTTCACAAACCGAAAACTGAAAAAACGTTTGCATCTCATAGTTTTTTATTAGTACATAAGTGTTTTGTGTCCGGAACCGTCGTTCATCAGTTCGCTGGCGCATCCGTCTGGCAGCTGTTGCACACAGTTGAAAAGCCATTGGCAAGATTAATACTCCAACTAACTGTGGACTGCTTTTTTGAGATCCAATCCCACATGCGTCGTTCTCATTAGTTTCAAACGGCGGTAAGAGAAGCTAATTAAATATTGTTCGTACTGCAATTTGGTCCTTGGACAAGTAAACTACTGAGAATTTGATCGCCAGTGTGGCTCTAAGAGGCTGGTCAAAATATCTCGCAATTTTGAAGAGTTTGAAAAAAATCAACAATCTTAGATATGTTTAGTCTACTTGGAAACACAATAGGCCAGCAACTTGCACTAGGCCAATGTACATGGTAATTCCTGTAAAAAGTGGCTCTTGAAAGAAAAACTTCCCTTATTTTGTTCGAAGTGTTTAACCTAATTTTCCGCCCAATTGCTGGTTTTATTTTGTGCACTAGACAGCACATTGTAACCGATCCATTGGTTTGTAAACATCCCACTCTATTGCGAATGTCTCCCTAAAATTAAGTCTGCTTCCCAGATAATCCTTTTACCTAGTGGCCTTCCGCTCCCTATCCGCTCTCGTCAGCCTTGGAGTATAAAGGAACCGAAACTTTTTGGACCAACTTGGACATCAGGTTTTTTGGACAGTCATTTGGTTTAGATGATTCCATCATAAAACTAGGGGACTGCGCCTACCTGGTGAGCCCCAAGTAGGACGGAAAATTTTCGGCCAAATTATGAGTAGCGTATTACGAGAAACTCAACCTTTTTGTATGTAGCTTCCCATCTGGCTGCTTGCATCTCTCTTCTTAGCTATTGTGAACAGTAGGATAAACCAACCTAACCATAGTCTAGCACCCAGAAGGATAAGATATACTTTGGTCACTATGGCAACTCTCCAAATAAATTACCCAAAACAGAGCATCACGTAATCAAGACCCTGAAGCTGGGCTTGCAAGGGAGTCATTTTGAGAAACCACCCCATGCTCCTGATAAGTAACCCCAAATTACTTCATAGTTCAGAAACTCCCCCTGAAAAGTCCGAGGCACAGTCTTCACCCCTTTAGTCACATTATAGTTTAGCACAGTTAGGTTGTTCAACAACCAAAGTCATTTTGGTTTTTCTACCAGTCACCCATGTTTTTTCATGTTTTTTATCCGTTAGAAGACCGCTGGTTGGATAATTTTTATGGTGAACTTGATGAATTTGAGCTCCTCTATGGGGAAAAGAGTAGGTACCCTGTAATGGTACTTTTTCAGTTGTACTTTATTCCAGGACCATTCCTCCTGAAAGATGGCGCTCTATTTGGAGAGAGAGACAAATTACCGGATTACAATTTCCCCACTCGAATACGACACAATACATCCTTCGCTACCAACCAAAACTTATTCTTGCCCGACAATCCCCAAATGACCGACTATAAGGATTTTACAGCAGATCCTTTCCGGTTGATAGTTTTTACTCAAAATGTTTTTCAAGCATTTTCACCTTGCATATCTCCTGGATGTCAACACAACGGTAAAACAGTACACTATTTTGGAGAGTTCAAAAAGCGTTTACTCCCTCAAACCAGGTTATAATGCCTTTGTTGGAGATGCATTTATATCAGAGGCCAAACACCTGGTAAAAAAACAAGTTCTTATAAATTATAGAGATTTAGCTAATATGGACCTACAGAGACCACTTCAATTGAACGACCATAAACGCTTACCATTGAGTGTCCACTTATATACATATTTCAAGGGATGGTCTCTTTCACCAGATACAGCTTATGCAAATTCTGGAGCTATCATTGAACATTAGAGGATAGATTTTTCCACGTCTGTTCGCAGAACGAACGAGGCATTATTTGGAAGCGCCAGCTACCTCTTAAAGTCGTCATTTTCCCAAAGCTTCGTCAAAAATGTTGCGCTTTCTAAAGGGACTACGTTTTGGAACCAAAAACGTTTGTTTGCTTCCTTGAGACTATTTTCAGCGGGAGCCACCATATCTGTTTGAAGGTCTTTTCAGGTAGGGCAACTGCGCAGGATGTATTGATTCTAACTGAAAAAAGTCGTCTTCCACATGTATTTTCTGGCTTTAAAACCTTCGTAATCGAAGAGCTGCTGGTGGGATATCATTTTCTGCCAGCAAACCATAGTGAGCAAAATTTCGTTAACCATGGTAATTTTCTCGCCCCCTCTTCTGCTGTTCCTGAAAGCTATGACATCTATGCAATCACGAACCGTCACAGAGTTTCTGTGGTTTCAAAAGACGTTGAAGGTTGGCTTGATCAGGTCCCCGTTTAAGTTCATGGGCCCACAGGAAAAGATTTGAGGGGCTGACATGAACGAACTCTCCTCCGTTACCCCCACTTGATACAGCTTCACTATCAGCAAGCCCAACATAATAAAGTCGTTTATTTGGGCCATGCTACGTTCTGCTATAGCATCAGTACTCAGTCTCATAAAAAGTACTGTTTGAGAACGCAAAACCCATAAAGTAAGTTGTGACTATTATGGCATCCAGAAACATCCAGGGACACTACGATTGGATTTGCGGCGTTCTGTTTCCGATTACTGATGCGTGTGCTTATCTTTTGACGTTCGAACCGTTGTTAACCGATGAAATGCAACCTCACTCTGGTGGGGCTGTGAAGCATGATAAACCTTTACCATTGCCGGGACATAATTGCAGAATCTCGCATCCTAATAGATCGTACGATCTTTCAAGCCACAGCAGGGTACTGCTTCGGCACCAATAAACTTTTGTCCAAACACGCGTTATCCAATCGGGCCTCCTGACGAAGAATCGTCCCATACGAGGCATTATTAGAAACGGCCGCACTTTTGTTGCACTAAATTCAGTAGTTCACTATGTTTCTTATCAGAAACTGGATTGTCTCGGAGTATTCTTTGACAAAATAGCTGGTCAAAGGTACTCGTACACAAGAAGACTAGGTCTTCAAACAAGATGTAGGTCATAATGCACTACTCATAAGGTTGTTGAAAATCCATCGACAGCCCACGACCGGTTTCACTCATCTTGAGGCTCGTCAGTTGGGCGCAATCCCCGAGTTTTCATCAACCTTATGTTCTACTTAAACCAAATTGTACGAATTTAGCGAAATACACTCATTTGCAAACTAACTTGGTTTTGCGAGAGACCTACCTGGAACCCAGCTGAATCTCTCGTTTCCAGGCAACTGAATGTGCTGCACCAGACCACTTCATGTTTCAGTCGCTACGATATTTGAGATATCGCGATATTCGTAATGCATTACCCATAAGGTTGCTGAAAATTCGTCAAAAATTCGCCTGGAATCATCACATCTGGGTTCCAGATGAGTTTCTTGCACAAATTAGTTTGCAAATGAGTGTGTTTTGATAAGATGCAGGTCAATATATCTCCACTGAATGCGGGCGGTTTCGGAGGACTGTTCTACACCTGTGCTCAAATTTTGAGTCCAAGGTTAGCTCCAGTGGACTAGACTATTACACAGCTGTAACTAAGATTGTATGTAACTAAGCTTGATCAGGTTTTGGTGTTCAGTTGATTCAGTTTGACTCTACATTTGATGGTCTTCTACCAAACTTACGCTGCCTATTATTTCCTTAGCAGGTGAGGCATACTTTCAAAGAATCGCATTTCGATTGGATCCATATGGTGCGGAAATTAAAAATTACTAAACCTTGAAATCCGGTAAGCATCGATTGTTTATCGTCATATTTAAGACGACATCAAAGGACTCACCGTATTTCTGGATACTTCTTTTTTCACCTGAAATTAGGATAAACACACCGCTTTGACTGAAAGTAAGAAATTGCTTGGAACAAAAGGCACTACCCTACCATCGTGAACGACGTCTAGATATATAAATAACAAAATTACTAGTTTAAGGTTTGGAGGTGGCCTGTTGGACCAAGTATAGACCCTTTCCTCCGAAAAATCTGCATGTTAATTCAGCATAAGGTATTTCAACCACTTTCATCTACCCTCAAATATGCTTCTAATACCCAAGCTGCCACTATTCCAGTATCCCTCATCTTTGCACATATACAGTAATTTTTCTATTTGCTACTTGTTTAAAGTTGAACCCCCAAATGCTACTGTTGCTGCATACAAATCCAACCGTGTATTTGTATTTCTGTGGAGGTTGTCTGGCAAAACGTTAAACCGCTGAAATTGAACTCGGTTCATACCAGTACAAAACGGTGTACAAATGGTGTGTCTACACGACAGTCTCCAAACAGACTTTATTAAAAATCGTTTTTTATTACCAATAAAAATTCTGCCAACGTGGATCCCGAAGGACTCTCTATTGCAAAGCCGTTTACCTGGCTGCAATATTTTTCATTAAATGAAGGCTGAAAATTTGTTAGGCATAACTCGGGTCATTAAGATCGTTGCTACTTAAGCAGTTTTGGTGTATGTACACACAAAGTTCGAAGTCATTAGTTTAGTTTTTTTGCTAATCAAGTCCCACAAAAATTGCATATTGCCGGTTGAAACTGAAAAATTGAAAAAAGTATAAGAGCTCTGGATTCTCATTAGCCCGTTTCCAGGATGGCTTCCTAATTCGTAGTGTTATACAGGAAAGAGCTTGGTCTGGATTATATATTTGTTCTGAATTTTTTGTCAGCTCCCCTGGAGTGAATACTGGTTGGAATTCTGTCTGATAGTAGGTTTGAACACCAGCCGGCATAGAATAGGATTTTCACATATGGGCCTTCTCAATTGAATTTATTGAGGGACATCGTAAACCAGGAATAACTAGCAATGTACTTTTAGCTGTTTCCCGAGAAATGGTAAATTTTTTGTTGCTTTTCAGAGGTTGTAGCTTGTCCACTATTGTTAAACATCCTCGAAACAAGGCCGAACTCATGTCTATTGAGGAGAATATGTGTTTACTAATCACCTGCGTGAAAAAACCGGTACCTGTAGTCGCAGTCTAGTGTATATCGGTCGCAGAACTAACATGCCCACAGAGACCGACTAAATCAGTCAGCGGCACCTGTGGTAAATCATCAGTTGAAGCACCTTGAGGTAGAAGTTTAAGGAACCAAACCCGATCGGAAACAACTTGAGATTCCTCCAACCCATAAACCGTAAGATTTGGGCAATCGCACCAACCGATTAGAATCTTTAATTGACATTCAGCACTGATTTAGTGTTCCAATCCGAAGAGGTCTTACTGATTGGTTCTCCATCTGCCTTAAAACCTGGCCAACTTGCCGACCTGCTCATTTTGTCTGGTGAAGATTTTATGTCAAAAGCGAAAAAGCTGTCCAGTTTAAAAAAATCATCGATTGCTTAGCAAGCCCTTATGAAAAGATGTCATTTCGTCGTTAAGCTACCACACAAAGATTGGTGGAAAATTTTTGGCAGCCAACTAAATGTTGTCTACTTTTAGAACTCATCATAAGGGGAAGGTCATTAAAAAATCCATCGATCTGCTTCCCTCATTTTGTTGCTATGCTAACACGTTTGGAGGGAATCGTGGTTCGGTTTGAAAATGAGTAGTTAACTACTTACACGCCTAGTTAAGTCTACTTCTGTGAGATGAGATGGATGAGAGACTAAAGACTACGCCCAAAAAGATGAAACAGAAAATGGACTGTCCAAAACTTTCCATTAAATTAGTAGTTGCGTAATATCAGAAAAAATGTTCCGATCTCTCCAATTAGCCCGTCTGCACCACAAGACAGCACTAGGTAAATATACTTGGTTCACACATGTGATGAGCAAATTATCCCTTCAAAGCCAATGTTGACGCCCTCTTAGTTTGCAAACGGGTGTCCAACATGAAAAGTCATCGTCTCTGCGCTTTTCAAATGACATGACGGCGTTCCACGGTTCACTTAGTCTCGGAAACAAAGATAGAAAAAGACCATGTTAGAAAACATGTTTCAGAGTTTAACTGAAAACTTTCGCAATTGGTACTCTTCCTGTGGGTTGCTTGCATTGCTAGCTTTCATCCAACGGCCTTAGAAAATCAATGAACGTACCCCACTGACGTAATTTTGACGATCGCGCAAAACCTAAAAGAGAAGCGATTTTTGGTTATCTCTTGGACCATGTGATAAAGTGAACAGTCAGGTGTTGACAAAACAAACTGATGCGCTTTCCAAAATCAACTCATTCAGATGAGCCGTCAAGGGACGTCACCAACAAAGACATCCATTTCCATTTGAAGGTGTGAAACGTTCTACGACATACCTGGTCTCCGATACCGTCGGAATTTGCCTAATGGACTAGTAAATCATTTGGTCTAGAGAAGCACGAGCATCTTTACTGCCACGCGTCATCAGTAGGTTGAAAAAAAGGAAGATCACTTGATGCTGGACTCGTAAATTACGAAAAGCAACAAGCATTGATGAGCGTACCTTATCAAGTAGTGCTTGAGCCAGACGTTCCTCAACACCTTCACGTTCAGCATAGGCAACGGATTCTAGATCGTCGTCTGAGGCCAGCGAGAGGTTATCCTCAACATCCTATTTCAATGAGAAAGGGTAGTTGGTTTCTGTTTGCTCCATATCAAATTTTCCGGATACTTATGTAGTAAACAAGGATATATAGGTCATCTCACTTTAATCGGGTGGCCCACAATCCGGCTGACCTCCTGCTGCAAAGTGTTCATCACATACTGTGTTACATTCCGACTGCTGTTTCCCTGTGAACTGCGTTGTCCTTGACGAGAGTAAGTAGTTTAAAAAGAACAATGTGTTGATGAGTGAAAAAAGACAACTGGTTAACTTAATTTAATACACAGGGCTTTCTGAAAAATGCAGCCTGGTGTGAAACCTCACTATTCAGGCTGCAATGTCAAGGGACCTTCAGTTAAATTTCAGATAAAGCAGTCACACAAAGAAACATCTATCCATCCCAGAAAGAGAACACTCTTCCGACAACATGAGTATCGTCCGGAACGTCTTTTTTTCAACAGGAACAACGGGCGTGCGAAACTGTGACCGATATTTGGCTAATATACAAGCTGGCATGTGAATGAACCAAATTATTAGGAGATACTGACGGCTAATTCAATTTATCTACCAGGGGGTAGAAAAGTTCCCTTCGTTCAGTGTGAGAATTAGGACGATACACATACTAGAACCTGTCCAAAGCCTGCTTTTCTGCTACTAATGTTTTGTCCCATGAAACTGGAATTTATTCACAATTTTCCAACATTTTGAGTCAGAAAGTCATGACACTGTATAAGGGGTAGAGCCGTTCACCTAAAATAAGCAAGGTTACGTGGGATTCCAAGAGCAATGGAGCCATAATCTAGCACTGTGGTCCACAGCCACAATTGCTGCCACTGAAGCAGCGACATTATCAGAATGAACACTAGCTTTGCTCATTGCCATCATGCTGCTATTGTCCGCCCATTAACATCATGTTTCCTAATTTTTAACATAAATACATCCGAAACACTAAACAACGGCAGTTTTCTTCACCACAATCCCACACCTTCGATATCAGACCCCTTCTATCTCGCTCTGGGGAACACTGAACACAGAAGTTGAAGGCGATTTAGATGATTAATAGCTGATGAAGATTAAGTCAACGGTCATCCAGAAGGCGTAATCTAAGTCGTGATACATTTCAAAGTGTAGACAGAAGCGTGATGACCACGTCAAAAGTTTTCTCACATAAGTATGCCATATAAAACGCAATCCCGTTCTAGATAACGGGTGAACATGAGTCAAAGTCACATCTGCCGCCAAGCTCACAGCCAGGACCGAGGAAGACTCTGTGAACAAATGGATGCAGTTTGATAACAGCACAGGCCTGTTAACCACGAAATGATCTATCCATACACAGTAAGACGAGTATGCATGTGGATGTGCATTGATTGTGTGGTTAACATTTTTGGCCGAGAAAAACAGGATTTGTGACAAACATTCGCAGTGATTAACACCTTTTATCCCTCACCGGCTCGCTATCCGATTTCACTCGCTATCCCACTTAAAGATGATACTGCCCCCTCCCCCGTGTGGCATTTTCGAAAACAGGAAGCACATATTTCACTGGCGGAAACGGTGATTTCTGGCATCAAAACGGACGTCAGATAAGAAATTGTTGACCAAGCGACGGATCGGATTGTGTGAATCGTCTATCAAGGGTCCCTCCTGCAGTAAGCTTTATCTATCGCACCCATCACCGACTACTTGCGAAAAATCGAACAACCGAAACCTTACATCCATTTTTATGGCATAGCTCTGATAAATCCGCAATGCACACTTTTAGGGAGCCACCACACACTGGTGTGAACAAAATCCTCTGTTCTAGCACCCAAAAATCTCAGATAAGCCTTCTCCATGTTTATTGAATTTTATTAACACAACAGGCATACACGCAGAATTTTAACCCACGCCCGATCTTTTATCTCGATGGTAAAATGTTTTGAAACCGGATCAACATAGTCTTCTATCCGGCTTGTTTTCCCTGTTTCTCTGGAAATTTACAAAACTGGTTGATATCTATGGGCACAGCTAATGAGTCACATGCAGTGATGCTCTGGCCCACTCACAAGTGGGTACCTTCTAATTCAGAGTTATAATAACCAGGCAGTGCTGTACTTCTGCGACAGTGCCACTTCCATATCAGACTTGTGTTAACTCACGGGATTGAAAGCCAAACTTCACATGCGTGATTTGTTTACATCTCAATCAAACATCAATCTTATTTTGAACAGATCCCAAGTATTCAGTACAATGCATACCGTTAAGCTCCAATAAAATTCACGATGCACATTGGAACAGATATCAAATGACTTACTTTCAGTTGCGATATAAAATGTTTGAGTAAAACTGCGCAGTTGCGTTGCAGCCGCTTTGCGGAATTCCACGCTAATGCGTCCTCCTAAAAAATACGAGTGGAAAGGTAGCTAATTGAGCAGGGGATAAAGTTGCGCTTGCACTGCAAGTGGGTTGATAAGAAAATGCAAGTCACTCGGATTTGCTTCCAACCAAAACTGGAGTAAAATTTGGCCAGGAAAGTAATCAGTCAGCCATTTCTCAATATGAAGATAGATGTTTTTTCGTTCAACCAACCTTCTAACGAGACACAGCAGCCTCTCGTACCAAAGGTTGCGGTGAAGTTTTCCAGCATCAACTCTCAAAACCTTCGTTGACTTGTGGAATAAATGGTAATCTGAAATAACGGAGGCTCGTGGACTTTATAGCTGAAATGGTAAACAACAATTCACAGCTTCATCTTCCGCCATACACAACCCAAGAACGGCTCGAGGGTTCAAGCGTGTCACCTTCCGGATGGGAGTTAAAAAAGCTACGGCAACGCATCGTCCTTTTCCGAATAGTCCCTCTCGTTTGCTCGAGTTGGTCCACATCAAAGTGGACTAGGGCTTGTCAGCATTGTATATTCTCGGCCTAGTCGAGACATTTTAACCCCGGACGTCTGACATGTGGGGTAAGTATGGCACGACTACTTCTCTGGTGCATGCTGGGTGCACCTGCATGGTACCTTCGGAGTTCCTACATGAGCGATGTGATCTTTTGGCTCAACACCACTCCAGCAACGAATCAGTCGGTTCTGTTGATCGACTGACATACCTCTCAGGGCGTCTTCAGACAGGGCTGGTGACTAAATGTGTCATATCTTCCATAAAGAGCAACAACTAAGCAGAAAACTGTTTCAGGCGGCCAAAGCGTCACTCGAATCCATCCAAAGTGCACTAGTGGCAGAGCGCTCGACTCGCGGGGCAGACTGAGGTCCAACATCAGTGAACAGTATTCACTACTAACAAGCTCTGTTGAGAAAGAAATTCATATCGGTGCAGGCCAAGCACTGATGTAAAATGAATCCACCTGCAGCGTAACGCCGAGATGTGAAACTTCAATCCTGCCGTGCTAATTGCAATCGATGTATTGCTACCGTACAATAAATCATGTTGAAGACTTTGTGGAAAAGTAATCTGGCATATCACCCAGGTTAGACTGTTAAAGGCTGCATGCGGGCCAGCCTACAGCCTGTCGACAGAGACCGGTGAATGCCAAATGCCGAGCGCTACTTAGCCAGCCTAGGTCAACCCGGAACTGAGTACCATCGACAGAGGAATGGGTCAATTGGCCTTACCCGACAGTTCATTGTCAGTCACTCGGTTAATGAGCTGAGTGAGCTGTGACAAACGGATGACTTGCCAACAAGTCAGATCATATTAACGCACCGATTATGTAATTCCAAGCCACACATCATGGATCCTTCTCCACCATGCTCTGGAAGCTTGTCATTCGAAGGAATTAAACAAACACGGTTTCAATGGCCTAAACAAAAGGGGCGATTCAAACTAACCTTGCCAATACTTTTGTTGATCAGTCAGATTTCTATCTTGATCAACCAGCTGAAATTCCTTCATCGTATTTTGCATCAGGCTCTCAAGTTTGGTCCGGAGACGTTTCAGTTGCACATCTTTCGCCTGTTCAAGCGACTGTGAAGGAACCTTTTGTTCTGGGAAAAGTGAAGGGCACGTAAATTTTCGGGCTGCTCGGTAATAGTGAGCGACGGCCAAAAAATATGCAAATGACTGCCAGTTTTGGAGGCTGGTCCTAGATATTTCACGGTATTACTTATGTATGTCTGAGTTATCTCGATATATTCTGGGCGGTGAGGGGGGGGCTCGTTTGAGTCGAATATCCCCCACACATTCAGGTTGCATCAGCGGCTTCGCTTCCCGCGGGGTGCACGACAGTTTTGCACTGGAATTATATCAATGTGTCATTGTCAAGCACTTTTAGTGGTATGAAGTGTTAAGTATACACTAATCATGACTAAACAGCCAAATCCAACAGGATCTCGGAAGTCCTCCACAATTTTCACAGCAAACAGTGACTGCTCATCAGTTCCGCATTCTGCTCATCTACGGTAAACAAGTTCATAGATTTTCTAATGTTCTTTAGCAGAATGATACATCTCGTTCCTTATCCCAGAAAGATGGAAAGCATATTTGCATAAAGAAACGTTGTCATGTTTGCCGCTGAATTTTTTCGTTCCTCAAATTTTTCAAAGGACAATGTAGGAAATGTTAGGAGGTTCTTTGAAAGTAACTCAAACTCACCATTGACTATTACGTCGCCGTCATTCTCATTGGATCCATACATTGAAATGATATTTGCCAATTCGTCTTCTGCGATATTTTGAATGTCTTAAATGAGAGAAACAGAGGAAATATTTAGTTTACTAAGAACGAGAACGGTGACCGGAAGCAGTCAATTTTTGGGGACAGCAGCCACTGCCGGAAGTGGCACATTCAAAGTGAATGACTTGCTCTGTCCAAACAGGAGATATATGCCAAGTTGTTGGCAATAAATCCGATAAGATTGGCCAACCTGTTTGTATCCAGTGAACTGTGTTTCATTTCAGATCAACAACCAGATATTTTAATGCGACTAAGTTGTGTGAAACGCTATGATTTTTCAACTGGAGGGCGCGGTTGCACCAGTTACCGATTGGGTTGGAGATAACAAACATCAGTATAGCCTTCGAGCAGAAAAAACTTGAAAATCTGAAGAGCTTCGCATATTTACACACATATATTCCGTTTTTCCACATAATGGAGAAGCTTAGTATGTGCAGATCACAAACCTTGTTCCCCATGGTACCTTCTGGATGCTGCTCGAATTCCAAGGTTCACTTAGGGGTATGCATGACTTAGCACGTTACACCCCAGGAAGTCCCTTTTCTCCAAACGTTCAAATAACCTGGGAACTGGTTTCAACAACTCCCTTTAAGCTACATTCCTTAAAGGCTCAGTTGGACGCCCCATGTTTCATCGTGTATTTTGAGCTACAAGGGGTCGACTTGTCTCCGCCATTGACTAACTCGCCCTCGGGCGTCATCCATGAACAAAGGCCAGTGGTTTGCACATTTTTCGATTGAGGTCTGTGATTGATGGCCTATTGCTTGTACTCTGTAGGCGTGTAAGTGTCAGCTAAACTTTAAACAACTCGAAAACGGTGGCCATATTCATGGTACTTCCAAAAAATAGTGCGAATTCCAGTCAGCCCGGTAGCAGTGGGCAGTTACTTTCATTTACTTAAAGGTGAATAAAGCAAGTGACGATTCTTCTGACAAACAGTATAGAATCCGAACCTGTTTGGGTACCGATTTGGGTGCCTATTTGAGTGTCGACTTTCCATGGAATTACCCCGCCCAAAACCACTGCGACTTTAACTTGAATAAAATATTCACAAATGGAAGTTGCCGAAAGTACGGTAACACAGAATCAATCTCTGACGGCCAACATTCAGCTGGAAGCTTCAGTCAGGAGCGGAAATTTCCAACGCTCAACATTTCATTCTGAAAAAAAACTATCAGTGTCAGTAGTTGCTTTTGAAAAGCACGTTTCCCGCCTGCTCAGAACCTGATCTACAGGCATTTTACTCCCTCTCTGCCATAACATTATACCAAAACGGGTATGCGACATAGTTGGATCTTTGCAGACTGAACTGTCCAGGCTGACGTAATATGTTGCGTATGCGACATAGTTGGATCTTTGCAGACTAAACTGTCCAGGCTTTCTTATGAGAACTCCAGGCGATTCACTCTGCAACATAAACTAATGCCTTTTTAAGTCTTTATTAGTGGCGATCTAAAACCTGACTAGTCACATGCATTCTATTGCCATTTTGATGTAGAGTTGGTCAAACACTCGGTTTGTCTAATAGTGATCTCGATTTTGGGCATATTTCTCGCCTGGCTTGTGGCTAATAATCCCAAGAGGAGATACTGACATACACGAGATGCACAAAACACAAAGAATACAAAACCATATGTCATTATATCAACGAGTATTTCAAGTGAGAAGTCGAAACGTTACTGTCGTAGGTTAAAACTCAAGAAAAATGGGCTGCAAATAAGTTTCAGTCATCTATCTCTGATGTGCCGTGGGTGTGTTTTATCCTACAAATGAAGGGTTCTGATTTCTCAGTCTCACTCTTCATTCTGTAGGATCCAGTGATGTGAGGAAATGTTTCTTGCTCGAGTTTGTTTTTACAAACGTTTTAATCACGCAATAACTGCAGTCCCTCGTCAACATGCTTCCTTCTGTAATGACAGGAAATAGATATCCTTTTTACTGTAATTTGCCACAAAAATCGTTAGGTATGTGGCTGGTACTAGTGATATTGGTTTAAAGTTGTACAACATTGCTGAAAAATGCGAGTAGTGTCTAGCCAAGAATCAAATTACCATCCCCCTATCTAGTTAATCCTAAGGCTAATGAAGAGGTTGTCAATTTATCTTTCAATTGTTGGGATACTTTAAGGCCTTGCAAAAACAAAACCTGCCTTGTAGTATGGCATTTGAACTAAAGTCTCCAGTTTGGGGCCTTAATCACGGTTGTGTCCTGGTTTAGGCGACTTGCCTGTATCTTTGCTCACAAGTCACTGTTGACTGTACAACTATCATTGATTTCGTATCACAATGGGTGTCGCATTATATCATCTAACGGACCGCCTCATTTTCTGTTTGAGTCACGATGGGAACAGACCACAGCTGACCTCAACGCACTTTTTCCAATACTAACCCCTAATTCCATTCTTCTCTCATTTAACGCTCACTCTCTTATGTAGATCTCAAGTGTAAGCACGTTAGTCTTGTTTGCAAGGAAGTGACTAGTAACAGGCCATCGCTCTTCAAGAGACCCCGTTCCCCGTTTTCCCATAAATTTTGACTTACAAACTGTGAGGCCAACTGGGTAAACGGCCTCGGTGTGCACTATCGACACTTTATCAATTAGCATCCTCTGCGTTTTCTAGACTTGAAAGCAAGATCCAAGTACTAGAAGTGAGTTTACGGTATTTTTCAGTCCCACCTACGAACGTAGGGCGATTGTGCTTATGCTGCAATAGGTCATGTCGGTGTTGGTATAAACGTTAAAGTGAGACTTCGCTGCTGGATTGGATTTCCGTAAACAAGTGCCTATGTGTCGTCAATTCCCTTAAGAACACACACTAACCACATTAACATCCGTTCCTTTTCTATATTTCCTGGACAGGTACAAAAGGAATAGCTATGATGCTACCAAAGGTACATTTTATCAAGCACTTGGTATTCTAATATTAGGTGTGAGGAGATCCGATATTGTCATATTCTCCGAGGATCGCATCGCATAAGGAGGGCACCTCAACTCATCAGAGGTGTGACCAGTTGGCCTCAAAATGAAACGGTAGCGGTGATAGTCTTTTGCAGCCTGGTTCTGTTGGTCGGTTGTTCTCCAGTAGGACTGGATTCAGAGACAATAACGGCCTTCGAGCTGCACTTCAGATGAACAACCACGAACACAGACTGGCTACACAGACATTGGTAGTCTGTAACGTGGTCTTAATAGTGACAGTGGTTCTTTGTGGATATCCCAAGTCGATTCAGACCATATTCTCGTTCGCCAGAGATTCCCGATGATTTTCATGCAAAGACACGAGCAACAACCTCTCTCTAGCTAGTGAAGAATTGTGTAACCCATAGATGTCGTAATTTAAGAGCTACCTCCTGGGCTATCGGTTCACAGAGTCAAAATTGTGGTGCATTTCTATATCTTTTTATCCTCACCAGGTTGTTTAAACCAACCCAGGAAAAGTAATAACTCCAGTTAATCCGAGGCCAATAAATCATCGTACTTCTATTTAAAAAAAGGTGCGCTTTAAACCCCATTTGTAACGCAGAAAATAACTTTCCGAATACTGCTACGCCTGACCTCATAGCGCATGACAGAATCCTGAGAGCGTCAAGAAGGCTACATCGGTGCATTGCGTCAGGTGCCTGAGCGGCATCGCGCATACTTCTGATCGGCTGTGGGAAATTGCTTGACTTCAAAGCATGTCACAACTAAGTGGATAGATTGGTCCCCCTGACTACACTAGGAAATGTTGCGATATCATTATCACGATGGTATAAGAATTCTCATTGAACTAGAGGAAGCTTTCAAAAAACTAACGTAATCTGTTAATGTTATCCCTCTTCCTCATTTTGTTTTGTGATGTGCAATGGAGTGAACCCCCACTGATTCATCAGTCTGAGTGTAACGGTGGATACTACTAATGAGACATGCGAGTAACATTTTTTCTCGTAATTCCGCCTTGCGTCTTTGAAAAGTGGAATTTATCAGGAAATTTGTGGAGTTGCTTTGCAGCAATCAATATCCAGAAGAGTTCAGGAAGACGCGTTCAAGAAGAAGACGGATATTTAGTTTTCATAAACAAGACGCATATGAGAGTCCTGCTTTCCTGTCCACTAGTCTGTAACTGTTCAGTTGGTGTGTTCTAATAAAGAACCCCGCAACAGTAGCCTTACTCTTTTCGTTTGATGCCATGACCAGGATAAGGATGAAGATCCCATGGCCACAATTTTTTGAGGATGGGGATGTTCGGACCTTCCTGGAGGATTTCGAAGGTGTTTCGGGATATGTTGGACTGAAGACCAGCAGGGGTAATTTGGCGACGCTGAAAGCTTTCCTCAGCAAAGGCATTCTTTCCTTCTCGGGTAGCACTGCTAAATCTGGAGGATTGTGCAAACGAAACGGTACTGTTTTTCGACGATCATGTCTGCTTGGGTCATTCTAACTAAGTATATCGAGTACGGTCTCTGTTTTGGCATGCTTCCTTTACCTTCAAAATGCATTCACCTAATTCCACATTTATACTCCCATGAACTGCACTGATAGTTCAGAATGAGGATCTTAAGTTTGGTTTCAGAGATGTTTGGTGAACAATTGATGGACTTTTTGCTGGGCAACGATTACTACCCAATCGGTCCCAAACATTTTTCGATCGATCTTGAGCTTTTTCATCAGTTTATGTGACTGTGATGTAACTCTGATGGATGTAGCCGATGTAGCGCATCCTCAAGACACGATCAATAGGCGTCAGATTGCGTCATCTTCGACGTCCGAAAAGAATGTCGGTGAGAATACTACAACCATTGTTACGGCAGTCAAAATCTAAGGTGATGAAACCTTGTTCCTCCTCTGTAATGTAACGGTCGTTAACTGGTTGTAGCGTGTTCATAGTGGTTTTGTTTATAAACGAGTGACAACTAGTGGGTCGATGTCAAATGAATAGTAGATGAAGTTCGTCAGACCAAAGATTATATGCTATTTATGCGTGAACACCGTGCGCTCACGTCATGTTTTCCACTCCAAATCCTTGT